TATCCTTAGCCGCCCCCCAATGCAGTGTAGTGTAATAGCACGATCTCACTGGTCTCTTCCTGTCCCCCCATAACCTTGTGCAGGAGTTGAGATAATAACTCGGTCGAGGGACACTACTCTAGTGAACACTGTGAATGGAGTCTATTATTACCAGATGGAGGCAGAATCAAGGGATAAAGTGTTGACATGTGGTCTCGAAGGAGTCGACCAAGAGCAGCACCCAGCTCGGTGGATTCTACCACGAAAACCAAATGGAGAACTGCCTCCTGAGGTGGTAAATGATGGCAACACACTCACCTTCCTCACTGCTTACGAAGAACAAAATGACACCTACATCTGCAACATCTGCAACGTGAATGCTTCAGTGATTGTACATGTCACACCACCAACAGGTAATTGATCGGTCTACTCCAGTTTGGTCAGCGTGTGATGATCTTTCTATCACTAAGAGTTGACACAGCACTATGCAAAGATTTGTATATGGAAACATGCACAGATCTGTATATGGAAACACTGAGTAGAGTATATTACTATACCTCTATCTGTTGCACAGTGAGGTCGAGGAAGGTGGAGTCGTTCCGTACTGAAGTGAGACTCTTGGGTCCCACACAGCCCATGCTGGTCCCGAGTCCCCCGTTGCCGCAGCCTTCCCGTAGAAATTAGAGCAGTAGCGGAGGTTGAGTCCCAGTTGGTGTTTGCAGATCTTCTGAAAGCTGGTGTCTGGTCTGGGTTTGGGTGCTAGTCGTGTGCTGCAGATTATCTCTTTAGGTTCTTCGTCCCCGGGAATCATGTATACTCTTCTTGCGTCGTCATTTTCAATTGAAGATATTTCTGGCTTCAGGTGTTGGTTTGGGTACATACTAGGGAATGAATGTCCTCAAATCTTTCACATTCACAAACAACATGTGTCCTCACTTCTGCTGTACTGTTTCAGCCGCCGCACTCTTTCTCAGATGGCCAGACGTGTGCGCGTGCGCAGATTCTATAGAGGGCGTGTCCTCTGGTTGTCTCGGCTCTGCCCCAGCCGACCAAACTCGGAACAAAGCGAGTCTTTCACAGCAAGCACAGTAGCCTGTCGCGGCATCGTCGTCGGTTATGAACTGAGTGGTAAGAACTGCAACTCAAGGGAATTTATATGCTGTAGTATGCGCACAACTTTATCTCCTGTTGGCAAACCTTATCCCACAAAATTTTGGAAGGTCGCCTGTGCGAAAGTTTAGAGAACCCGTGACTATGTCTTCTCAAAGGCTGCAGCTGCGTGCTCTCCTCAAAGAGGAGGTTGGAAGCGATTGATTATACAGTGTCACATGCCTCCCAATTTTTGCTGAGTAGGTAGCCTGTCTTTCGAAAAGCCAAACTGAGTACCGGGAAAAGTTTGTAGGTGGGTTGGTCTGACTCAAGAAGAGGATACTGTTGAGCTGGCGTACCCCTGGTATCCGTGAGATCGAGATACAGCGTACAACACTAGACGATCTGTGCCACTCGGTACACGATTGAGCTAAGCATTATAGTATAATATGAAGCTTTTTAGCAAGATTTCAAGTGCATCCTCCGAATTTCAAGCTACCAAACTTGGCGATAAACTTTAGGGGTGGCACCGCTGATTGGAATTCCTGTGCTACTCACGTGATCGGTTCTAACCTCCTCTGGTCCTCAGGAAAGGGTCTTGTGACAACTTATTCTGGTTCCCAGTCCCTTCCTTCTGTGCACATGTGCGTGGGAGAGGGTAGGGTCTGGTAGATGTCTATAACGTAGTGTGGGTCCTAGGGTAGAATGTAGAGACATGTTGTTTTCTTACCCAGTTCCAGCCTGTTAGAGTGGTGGACCTAAAGGAATGCTCAATCAGTAATTCTCATCAAAAGACACACATACAGGTATGTAAGGAGTAAATACCCAGAGGAGGAGAGTATACACCTCTCGGAGGATATGACCTGGATCACGAACTGGTCACCTCCAGTACTGTATATATACTTCTAACCTTGGGTGATAATGGGACGTGTGTATAGTAGTGTTTCCCACAGGGGATAATTTAAACAAAGTGCTTATAATTACCTCAGAGACTAAGGCTTTCAGGCTGGCCAACATGACCTAGACTATTGGCCTGCTTGCTACGCTCCACACAGAGAATCTTAGCAACAAGGAGCGTGGTCTAAAAACACTATTTTTAACAACTTCCTGCTTCCTGTTGGGAAATCTACTGGCTACCTGTATCAGCGAAGCCTTTCAAGCACTTCCTGTTGTCAAGCTGAGGATTCAGCTGCACTAGCTCCATTTTTACGCATGCGCAATAATTGTACACGCCCATTTTATGGATTTTCAATCCGGGCGCAGTGCCTGGAAGTTATGATGTTGGGGGAAACACTGGTATACTGTATAACCTCTGATGAAGGACACTCCAAATAAAGACAGACTCACTCAATTTAGGTCCCAAACGTTCACCTATCCATAATACTAATACATTGTTAACCTCAAAATAAAGGACAAAATTCCTGGTCCCAATGTGCCTAATATTCAGAGGTTCCACTGTATCTAGTGGGTGGAGCCTAGTTCTGTGAACATGCCAGTCCCGCAGCCAAGTTGCCTATGTATTTGGAGGCTGATTGTGCTGTTTTTGAAGGCAGTGCTGTGTAGTGAGGTTCATATGCATGCAGGCCCTGTGAGACAAGGCTAGCTTAATTTAATAGGATGTGTGGGCTCTTAAAGCCACAGCTAACATCAGGCCACCCTAGACTTGAAATTTGGATGCAACCCAATTGTGAACTTTCCTCAATCAATTTTATGTAGATTGGTAGCTATAATGGCAGAGACTCCTGACCGAGTGTTGTCCAAGGAAGACATTCCAACTCTTGTGAACATTCTAACTCCAGTAGCTTCGAAATGCTCTGCACTTGGTCTGCAGTTGGGGTTGAAAGACTGGCAAATAAAGAACATAGAGAAAAATAGACATGATTGTGAGTCACAACTGCAGGAGATACTAGTAGAGAGACTAAACAAGGAAGAGCCTCTCTCATGGAGGGACTTAGTCACAGCTCTTAGCTCCGACTCGGTTCGTGAACGCCGGGTGGCCCACCAGATTGAGTCTCACTTTACGTCTCTATCAACCCCCCACCAAGCGAGACCAAATGTCTCTCTCCCACACTGTGACACTAGTCTGTCTTCATCATCATCTCAACTTCCCTCACAGCAAAACCCACTTGAGTCTCGTCCTACCACTTCCCTTCCTTTTCCCTCTACCATCCAACCAAACCTACTCCCAGTTCCACTTACCACACTACTCCACACAGTAGCAAACTTTCAGGTCTTCCTCCTCCATTACCTCATCCTCGGTATCTCAACCAGGGTCTTCCATACAACAGTTATCCACATCACAGCATGCAACAGCGTCCACCCCCCAACCACCATACTACACACCCACCTATCAATGTGCAGGAAATGTCTGTTGTAGGTGGCCCAACAAATCCATCTCAGCCACCAGTACCCACTGCAGTTAACCCTACAGTAGCAGCTCCACCACAAACCTCAGCTGTAGCTAGTCAGACAAACCAACATCTTGGATATCCTCAACCACCTGCTGCAACACCCTACATCTCTACACACCAACCCTCTACCCATGCATTTCAACCACAATCCATACCTCAACACCTAAACCAAGGTCCCTTTTACAACCCATTTCCGTATCATCCACTCCCACCACAATATCTCCCACAGCAGTCTCATGTAGTATACCCACACATCCCTCCTACTCCTACTTACCTTCCCTATCCCTACTTTCCTCTGCCATACCAACATGGCCCACCTCCACAAGTAGCAACCTCTGCAGTCTTCCCACACAATGTCCCAGAGACTGGTGCCCCTGCTGCCAAGAGACCTAGAGAACAGTCACTAGTGAGGCCACACCCCCAGCCTCGCCCACTCCCCAGTCAACAGCCTTCTACAATTCAGAGGAAACCACCACTAGTCACTCAGTACATTGACTATGTGAGGACAGTGTACAAAGTCAGTGAGTAGAGAGAGATACACGTACTGCAAAATGGCCCCCAACTCCCAGTAAGGTCTACATCAATCTGGTATGTATAGACCGTACAAAGGTTGGGCAAAGGAGTGAATACGAAGAGGTGACAAAGGCTATGGTTCGATATGGTGATGTTGATGTCGTACATGGCAAAAAGTGGCCAATCGACTTTAATGAAATAGCAGCTGGGATTCCTGATATTGGTCTAGAGCAAGTTGTACTAGTGGAGGGTGCTCCAGGTGTGGGCAAGTCAACATTTGCATGGGAGTACTGTAGGAGGTGGGAGAGAGGGGAGATATCTCAGCAGTACCAGTTGGTCCTACTTCTCAGACTCAGAGATGAGAGAATGAGCAAAGCCAAGACTCTCAGGGATCTAATCATGCATGATTCAGAAGATGTACGTCAAGCAGTAACTGCTGATCTGGGGCAGAGTCATGGTTCAAAAACACTAATCCTACTAGAGGGGTTTGACGAGCTTCCAGACACCTGTCGTACTCCACAGTCTATATTCCTTCGACTTATATGTGGTGAGCTATTGCCGCTGGCTACTGTGATGGTCACCAGTCGACCTTGGGCTACAGGAATGTTTCTTGAGCATTACAAGCATCGTTTGCTCCAACATATTGAGATAATGGGCTTTACCACTCAACAAATATCAGAATATATAAAGAGTGCCTTACCTGAGAATGAAGCTAAAAACCTGGAGTCTTATGTTAACAATCGTCTTCAGATCAGAGGCTGCATGTACATCCCTCTGAACAGTGCTATTGTGGTGACAGTATATCAGGACAGACAGGCCAGTGGGTGTCCTCTGCCTACAACACTAACTGAACTATACACTGATCTGGCACAAATACTGCTAGTTCGATACCTACATGGTCATCCCGAGCTGGAGAAAGGCAGTGATAAACATAGAATTAGGATTTTTAAAGATCTGAATGTCCCACATGGAGTTAAGAGATATTTTACTGAACTGTGTGAATTAGCATACAGAGGCATCGTAGGGGAAAGTGAAGGGACTTTTGAAGACCTATATGTAGGTCGGAGAAACTATGTTGACCTTTGTTACAGAGGCATTGTAAGGGAAAGGCAGGTACAGCTGATATTCAAAGAGTCGGAGCTACCAGCAGACTTTGACAATCTTGGGTTCATGGACTCTGTCACTGAGCTCTATGTAACTCGTGGGACAGTCTCGTCCCACAACTTCCTACATCTGACATTTCAGGAGTTCTTTGCTGCAGTCCACATCTCTACCATGTCACCAGCAGACCAAATGATACACTTCCAGAAACACGAGGATGGTTGGTTGAAAGTAGTGAAGAGATTTCTGGCTGGCATCACCAAGTTAAGCTGTTTTTCTACTGAAGGTGCTCAACACACATTTTTAACTCCTACAGCTGGTAATTACAGCCATACATGTGACATTAAAGTTGATAGTCAACTTGTAAACTGCATGTTTGAAATTCATAGCAAAAACGTCAGTTCACTACTCAATGTGAAACATGGCACTGGACCATTTACAATTAATTTCGAAGGCGACGAGTTAATGTTTCCAATGGACTACTACTCTCTGGGTTACTGCATAGCCCAAAGTGAGTGTCAGTGGGTGTTGGATCTGAGTTATGTTGCAACTATAGATAGAGAAATGATAGATACCCTGGTAGATGGAACTGAACTCAGGTCTGACACTGTGGAAGAGTGGTGGGTTTTATAGGATCGCGTGTAAAGTGGATAGTGACCTCTCTTGACGACTGAGGAATATTGCGCTTGACTACTTTTTATTCAGCGTGATAGATATATTCTTCACTTTCATGAGTCTGGTCTCTACCACTCTCAGTTACGTGCATGTGGCTTTCCTATGGCCAGACCTCTCCTCACTGACGGAAATACTCAACATTAGGTATGTCAAATACGACTGGCGAAAGAATTAGTCCAGTTGTAAACACATGACTACCATACCACACTCAATTTAAAGTTTGTCCTTAACTCTGACTGGCGATGGTCTACCGATATCATGCCTACAAAGTAACGCTTGTAGTGGCTGTTGGCAGTTACATCAGGACTGCAACCACTCTTACAGGAAATGTCATTAGAGTTCATAGCTGTGAATGAAGAAGGGACGGAGGTCATTACTATGGCATTGGCTAGTAGTCAACTGTCACTGGAGAGACTCACACTATTCGGATATTTTTCATTTACTGACACCAGCAGCAGACTATCTGGCACAATTCATCAGGAACTCCACCACACTGCAGTATCTTTATTTATTCCGGTGTAAGTTCAGGGTCGGTGGACTACGAGTACTGGCCCAGGCTCTACACCATAACTCCACACTGAAAGAGAAGGATTTGAGTGATTTGGAGGTGACTTTTGATGATGGAAGAGACGAAGAGGACTTGGAAGAAGTATTAAGTGCCTTTCCAGACATAAGGAATGTATTACAGTAACAGCAACAAGACGAAGTATATATTATTGGTATTGCCTATCATCATAACATCATGGCATTTACATGCTGTGCTCTAGCAAAAACATAGCAATGCACCTCTAAACACCATCATATACCAATATGTGCTTAGATCAAGAGCAGAATAAGAGGTTGAATCTTATGGGCAGTCCATTATCGAATGCCCATGCACTAAGCTAAAATTCATTGGTATTCACCTCTCCCTCCTCTGCTTCTGACCTGAAGACAGCTCTAAAAACCACTGGATATCCATCACCAGGTCACAGAGAAACTTTTGTATGTTATAAAAGGAAAAGTATTAATTGCCTTTCCAGACTTGATGAAAGTAGGAAACAGCAGGAAGAATAAGTACATCATTTCTTTACGAGCATAGCAATGTTGTGCATAACATAGCAATGCATAGCAACAACATAGCAATCGACCTGTACATTAATAATGTAAAAAGATATTTTGATTCTGTTCTCAGGTGTCTACTTAAAAGAGCAGAATAGAAGCGAATCTGAGTTGAACTCAGGCTATAGTATAATATATCAATCTAGCGTCCAAGTGCTTAGCTAACATTTGGTTGGTAGTTACATCTCCACAGCTCTAAAAACCATTTGCACCAGGTCACAAATACACAATAATGACAAGGAAACGTAAAATCTAGTGGTCCAAGATCCGGAGGTTTCCTGACACTATCTTGTTCTCTAGCATGGCTCCAGAGGGGATGTCGATCCTGTCCCCATGATTAGCAATGATGATTACTGTGCCCTGTGTAACGACACACACCAATGAATTAAGCCCTGGTTGAATGTAGGTAAAACTCTGGAGGTCAAAAAGGGACACTGAAGCAGTACAGTGGAACCTCTGATAAGGGACCCTCTGAGATAGGGACGAACTCTCTACAAACGACACTTGTTTCAACCCCATGTATCATTTGACCTGCGAGATAGGGACGACCTCTCTACAAGGGACAAAATCGTTGGCCTCATAGTGCCCCTTGTTCGGACGTTCCACTGTATACAAGGAGGTTACTAAAACAAACTCTATGTCACTGGCCCTAGTGATCTTTTGTATGTACTGACACACCCCTCTAAGGAAAAATTCGAGGTCCCACATTCAGAGGCTCCAGTGATTACCTTGAGAGTGACGTTTTTTCCGAAGGTGACGTCACCAGACACTGTGAGATGGTCCGACGAAGTTACATTCACACAGCAAAACACTTAGTACTATGGTAAAGTGGTAACATGAACACGTGTGCACAACATCACATGATGTGATATCTAGTGGCTTAACATAGCCACAACTTCCACGGTGCTACATGGTGAGGTGAGGAGTGTGTCCCACCTTCATGAAGAAGTGTTCTCCGAGTTTGACGAGGGGTAGTTCGGGGTAGAGCCGGGCTGGGTTCTGGACCAGAGTCCCGTCTCTCAGCTGGAACAGGTTGGACATGACCACCAGAAGATCCGACGTCTTCTTCACTGGCAGGAAACGACTCCGAGGAACATTGATACCTGTGTGCATGGTCAACATGCACACGTATTACTCAGTACACACAGCATGTGGTACTTCACACATGTCGAATTTATGCATTAGAAGCCTAAGAGGGCTTGCACTCATGTACTGAAAAGCACTAAAGTGCAAACCCTCGGCGAACTGCGCATGCGTGGTACCTCTAATTGATGGGCTGGGCTATTAGTATATGTTTACTCACGGTCTCCTGCTAGTAGCTCGCGGAGGGTGTGACACAGGCTATAGCTACAGTGGTAGAGAATCGAGGGCTTTTAATGTGGTAGGATGTGCTGCCTCACTGCAACTCCAACTGGTCTATAGCTTGCACTTGAACACCAGTTCTGAGTTAGAATAGTAGACATGTGGCTACAATGTGAGTGTGTGTTAGTTTATGAAGAGGAAGACTAACCAACTGCTCCATTGAAGTTCTTGATAGCAGCACCAGCAGCTGTCTCCAGTTGAATCACATTCACTCCTCCATCCAGACTCTGAGTGGAGGTAATTCTCAGTTATACCACTGTGGCTCCTTCTGTCTCTAT